CAATACTATGTTAATATGCTAATCCTAATATTCTGATGTATACTAATGCTAATGCTAATATGAATATGATAATCCTAATGCTGATGTTAATCATTATTGTAATCCTAATATTATCCAAATTTTTATCTTATTCATAATCTTATTTCTAACACTAATCATAATTATATCCTTATCCTAATCTTAATTATAATCATAATCTTAATCCTAATACTAATCATAATCCTAATACTAATACTAATAGTAGTACTAATCATAATATTAATACAATCCTATACTAATATTAATCATAATCATAATCCTAATCCTAATACTAATACTAATTCTAATTTTATATTAATCATAATTATAATTTGAATCGGAGTCCTAATATTAATACTAATACAAAAACATATATTCAATATATTAGAAATTAATATTTAATTATGTTATCAAATTGACATTAATATTTTTTTTTCAATATTATCAGTGTATAAGCAAATATTAACACATAGAAAGAACAATAATCTTGGATAAATTGCAAAAATCACCCTAAACTTAGGATAAATTACGAAAAGCCCCCACATGTCGGTAATTACAGAGATCACCCTAATGTTTGTTTATGTCTTACATGATCTCCTTATGGTGTGATTTTTATGGAATCTTTTTTATTCCATGTAATATCCTAGAAAATGTGGATTCTACCCCTGCAACGTGACATTTCTTTTATCCTATTGTTTAAATAAAAAAATTACCCACATGTAGGGGTGAGCAAGTCGAACCCATCAACCCGCTACACCCGTCAAACCCGTGAAAAACCGCCCCGTTGGGACCGGACGGATAGATTCATCCAAAGGATTGGGTCCTAAAATGGTGAAGAACCGTGGGTTTTGGTCTTAGATGGGTTCAATTTTTTTTAATACCCGTGAAACCCGTCCCGCCCCGCCATACAAAACGACGTCGTTTTGCTTACATTTTATAGTATAATAAATTAATAGTATTAATGAATAAATAAAGTATCTCTAGTGTATCAAATACATAAATCAACTAAACTATAATTGTGGAAGTAATAGCTTTAAAGATTAGGCTTTTGAGATCCTACACCGGGTGAAATACACCGGGTAGATCTCTACCATTCATATACACACAAACACACACACACACACCCACATTGGTATGTGTAGATCAACGGTAAAAAATCACCTGGTGTAACCTTCACCGGGTGTAGGATAGATAAAACCTAAAAATTATGAAAATCCCTAAGAAAATGTTGGAAAAACGATATATACAACGGTCAACACACGGCAGAAAAAAAAAGGAAGAAAATGGTGTTGAATGGAGCTGAATAGCGTTGGTTATGCTTGAAAAGGCTGTATTTATTTTATTAAATTTTATCTTTTAAGTTATGAATTAGTTACTTTTAGTTTTATAGTATTTTTTTATTTTCTCTTGACATTTACATTATTTATGTTTGGTTTGAATTTAAGATTTTAGGTTATTCATTTTAGTTTCTAATTATTCTCTCAAAAAACTTATAAATTATATATATAAAAAAAAATAGTTTAGACGATAACGGGTTTCGACCCCTGAAGGTTGGGTCCTACTACAAACCCACCATGGACCCGTCTATCGTAAACCCGTTAAAAACCCACAAGTTTGGTTCTTCAAAATTAAGAACCGTTGTTTGACGGGACGAGGGCGGGTTTTGATAGAACCCGCGGGTTTATGTCCCGCGCACACCCCTACCCACATGGGAGGTAATGGTAATACTAAAAAATTGTGAATGTGTTATTTAAGAAGAATAAATATTTCGTGTAAAGTCCCCGAAAAGATAAATATCAAAATTAAATATTAAATATCAAATAAATATTTGCAAACTCATTTTGATACTTTTGGGGATGAAATTGCTCTAAATATGTACCTAATAATATATATCGGTGTTATAGTGGAATATAGTATATAGTACATACGATCATTATATATCTTAAACATACCAATTGATATTTTTAATCTTTGGTATTAAATAAAGCGAATAAACTAATTTAATACCAAAAATTTAGAATAACATTGTTATGTTTTGAAATATATAAAATAGGTTTGTTTATTTGTTATCAGTTGATTAAACTTAACTTTTATTATTCAATTTATTAGTATTATGAGAAGTTTTTTTTTAATTAGTATATAATTAGAAGTGTCAAAACAGTTATAAATTATTACTTTTATTATTCAATTTATTAGTATTGTGAGAAGTTTTTTTTTAATTAGTATATAATTAGAAGTGTCAAATCAGTTATAAAAGTTTTTGTCAGTGCATCAATGAATAGAATAGAAAAATTAAAACATTAACATGAAATTCATTTTCAATATGGTAAAAAAATTGGTAGTTTATTGTACACACCGCGGGAGAAAAAGACAGTGTGGATTACCGCAATATAGTAAATTCAAACATGTATTTTTTTTATATACATATAATACTAATATATAATAAATTAGGAAAAAAGAAAAGACATATTCTTTCATCATGGTCATATATATAAAATATATAAAACCAAATTATTTAACCTACAATATTTCTTAAAATCCATATCCAACTTTATGAATTAACATACAAAATTTCTGTTACAACACAGTCATGCAATTATAATGACTGCCATTTAAAATTTTAAAATAAATAGACAACGACCATATAAGAAATGTGAATTTAAATTTCACGAATCACAACAGTAATAATGGACACAAATCATGTCATGCAATTCACATAACATTGTTTATATTAATTGTAGATAATTAAATAAGTGTTATATATATATATATATATATATATATATGCAAGTAAACATAAATTTAAGGATTACACTTATATATTCAAATGACGAAAATGACATATTAAAACATCGTTCACTAAAATGAAGTGAAATAAAATAATTCAAAATTAACACAGAATGTTACTATTTATAAATACAAAAGGATACACAAAAATTAAAAACATGTTATGAATCAAATGTGAATGAATGTAAAAACTGAAATTGGAAAAAAATAAGTAAAACAAATTACGATAATCATTAAAAAAAAAATTCAAGCAATAGAACAATGAAACGATATAGGTAAGAAAAAAAAAATTCAAGCAATAGAACATACATTTATTTTGAATAAAATAGAATAATGTGACTCACTCATACATTTATTTTGAATAAAATAGAATAATGTGATGATTGATGGTATTGTACAGTTTATTTATATAGTCCTGTTTGCACGATGAAAAAAGAAACTACAAATTGAATATGGTAATGCTATCAATAACATTAAAAGAAATATATATGGACACATTTTTTAATTTGAAATTATTGGAAAATAATTAAAAATCCGGTGAAAAAAAAAGAGAGGAATAAAATGGAACAAAAAATCCGGTAGCTCCTAGATTGATAGAAATAAAAGATGT